GAAGGTGGATAGCACTATCGGATGGATAAATCATTATCCAGTAGATAAAGTGATTCTTTTATCCACSCTTCGTACAACCATGGCCATGGCTTATATTTCTGGTCTGTGTTCTCTTTGTTGTAACAGATGTCAACGAATGCGTTCAGGGGAAAAAGTGCCACCATATTTGTCTAAATATTCCCGGTAGTTATGTCTGCGCGTGCCGAATAGGATACACACTTTCTTTGGATAAAGTCRCATGTGAAGGTGAAGTGGACAATACTTCAATCCAACCATTTAAATTTACACACGAACCGGGACCACTTGAACAACAATTGAAAAGAAAAAATCCTTAGCCAATCAGGAGAGAGCAGAATCAGTATCATATTGACCTCAGCCAATCACAATCTCTCATTCCAACGGTTGTTGATAACCACTAGGTTTTTGTCAGATATCTAGGCTTCAATGCTTGGTCCTCATTGGTTCAAATTTGACCAAGCATGTTTATGTTCTCTTCGCGTGACTTAAGTTCGATTCCTTCATTTCACTCTATGTGGTGATTGGTTAAAGGGGCACTTGGATGAAAATCAATGAAAATTGGAAATGACTCGAAACTTATCTATATGGCCCAGATAGTAGCCAAGCAACATGTTTCCTTCACAGTCAAAAGTGGCGGGAAAAAATTATCAATTTTATTCAGCATCTRAATTGTGAGTAAATGACGTCATTTACTCAACCCTATTGTTCTTTTCGCTTTTAACCCAAAATATCTCAACAGCGAGTGGCTCCCAGGCTAAAATTTTCACTAATCTGATTTTCATAATTATAATCGAGTCATATTATCCTCGAATACTTCAGTTATTTGGACTTTCAAAAATCRGGGCGTTTTCATCCAAGTGCCCTTTTAACTTTCTTCAAGTGTTCCCGGCTAGTGTATCTTTACATAAGAGGTTACTGACCTCGCTTAGCAGCTTGTATGGGATTTATAGGATCGACTATGGCAAAGTCTGAATGGTATTTGTTATGCCTCTTTTCAATAGCCAATAACCTGACGTCTAGAGGTTTGTTGGACGCGTATTGTGAAAATAGGTGCAAGTCTAAATGTAATGACAATTATATCTTGACAGATATGAATGAGTGTCTCGTAAAGAACAATGGTGGCTGTGACCAAATCTGCACTAACACTAATGGTAGTTACCGCTGTGCATGCCGACCAGGTTTTCTTCTCAATAGGGATGGAAGAACTTGTGATGGTAGGTCTGATTAGCGCCCTTGGCACAACCGTTAAACAAAGAAATAACACTCTAGGGAACGACACGTGGTCCGCAATAGAAACACAGTGAATTATGTCTATTTCTCACAAGACTAGATGCCAACTCTTCTCCGTTTCAGATATTAATGAATGTTCGTTTGGCAACACTGGCTGCAGTCACACGTGCAAGAATGTGTTCGGTGGATTTGAGTGCCAATGTCCAAATGGTTATAAACTTGAAAAAGACAACAAAACATGTGAAGGTACGGTCACCATGACTACGGTATCCATGACAACAGTAACCATGACAACTACTTCATAGCAGTATAGATTTTTGAAATGGCTTTAATTCTGTTTKTCTTTTTGTTCGAAGATATTAACGAATGTTCGACAAGGAATGGCGGCTGTGAACAAATGTGTGTGAACGAACCCGGCAGTCATCGATGTGAGTGTCGCCATGGTTACATACCGGATATCATGATGCCTGGAAGGTGTATGGATATTGATGAATGTATGGAGGGTATCCCAGCGTGCTTTAAGTGCACCAATCTTCCTGGCAGGTATTTCATGAGAATAGCGAATTTTATTAGTTTATTATGATCAGACGCACGATAATGTCAAAATCAGACCTCTGGACATGGTTCTCTAGACAGGAGCACCCCGAGGATCACTAGTGGTCCACAAGGGGAACGATGATTATGAAAGACGACACAGAAACTTGTGGCCCTGAATCAGAAGCTGCAATGCAATGAAACGGCGAAAAACGTTAGCTACACAAAAGTTTTTCAAACCCTGTTCTTGTCTGACATTCACAAGATGGCCGATACTCAACCGAATCCGAACCGAATCCGAACCGAATGGGCCCAGCATATTACATATTTGTAGTCCTTGCAGATCAGTGTACTCTTTCCAGCCTCCATTGTGCTCTTGAGAAATGATTATGAAAAATTCACCGCACAGGCGTGCCATACCTTGRTCGTAACCGTGCCGTATCCCAGTRATTCATGCATTATTAGTTTGACGGATGTCGTTAGTTCCGTACCTTTGCGGTGCCGTGTACCTTGCCGTCTCATACTTAAAGAAATATGCTCTAACAGATATTTATTGATATTGATCTCGATAGCTACCAGTGTGAATGTGACCCAGGTTTTGTGCCCAACGTTAATAAAACAGCTTGTCTAGACGTGAACGAGTGTGATACGAACAATGGAGGGTGTGGTCAACACACGTGTATCAATTCCTTTGGCACATACCGGTGTGAATGTCAGAAGGGTTACGTACTGGATCCAACGTAAGTAGATATCATACTAGTGATAATGGACCCAGTCTGCCAAATTGTATCAAGTCTAACTCACTTCTGTCACTTATGACTTTTGTTTTACACTCTCTTCATTTCGTAGCTAGAAAATCATAGATAGACCGAATCATATCCTTGTGCTTTTCCTATGCTGTAGTAGTGCCAGAAACCCGGGACAGTAGTGTAACTCCCCACTCCACTCCCCTAACGCTCAATCTAGTGTCTTGGGTGCTCAAAAACAACTTGCAACAAAAAGACAAGTTCAAGTTAACTAAGTGTTGTTCAATTGATGTTCTCTTCAGGACCAAACGATGTAAAGACATCGATGAGTGCGCTGCAAATGGTGGAACCGGTGACTGTGAACAAATGTGCACCAACACCGTGGGCTCATACAGGTGTCGATGTCCTGATGGCTTTAAGTTGAGGAATGAAAGACGGTGCCTTGATATCGACGAGTGTGCTATTCCAAGCCTCAACAGATGTCAACATTTCTGTAACAACACAGTAGGAAGGTAAATGACTGATGGAGTGTGATGGCAATTGGTTTCATTAAAAGACGTTAAAGAAAACTCTTGTCTTTCAACCCTCTGGGCTTATCGAAGTCAGGGCACGGCTCTGAACTCACAAATCGAATTGGAATCGAGCTCGTTAGATTTTTCKGAGGGAAGAAAACGGGAAAGCCCGGAGAAAAAAACTCAAATCAAGGCGGTAGAGACCTAAAACCTTTATTCACATGTGATGCTTAGGCCAAGGCTATTATTACACCACCCTTAACTTGCTAACTTGAAATCTTTTCATTGTAGTTTTACGTGTTCTTGTAAGAAAAACTATCACAAGGCGATTGATGGATTTTCGTGCAACAAGAAAAAGGTTATTCCAGGCAAGTCTTTCCTCAGTCTTTTCATAAATCTCGAKGGTATTTTGAGTTTGTCATTTCCAACTGTAATAGAACATTCAAGATAATACCACCACTTTAATGTCGTATCTATAAGTTGTAAGATAAAAGAAGCAGACGATACTTTGCAAAGCGTTTTGCATGTTGTGGGGTCAGTTAAATACTTTTTTTCTTCAGTTAACATGACATTTATCTTTTAGGTTGTGGAATTGCACTAAACGCCAAAGTCCCTACAACGAGAGGCTGGCAAGATGCCAAACCAGGAAGTTGGCCATGGRCTGCTTTACTTCATTTCGATGCCTTTGGTGACATTGAGGCTTGTATGGGTACATTGATTGACAAGGAATGGATTCTGGCAACATCACACTGYCTTCATCTCGGTCCTTATTCGCTACAACCCCAGTTCATCAAGGTAGAATTAGGCGTCTATTATCGAGGTGAAGGAAAACCAAAGCCAAAGCTGCTCAATGTCAAGCGAGTGGTTATCCATAATAGTTTTAAAGCAGATTTAAATAAACTGTCATCCAAYATCGCTTTGTTACAGTTATCAAAGCCTGTTAACTTCACCGAGAATATTTTACCAATCTGTCTTCCCACTAGACAGRAAGCWGAAAAATTCTCAGTAAGAAGAAAACAAGGCGTGGTCATTGGTTGGGGCAAGGGTGTCGATCATCGTATCCATGGTAACCTCAGGCAGGACCTGGTGACTATCACACGTCGACAGCGATGTTCGTGGGCTCAAAGGCATTACGATTCTAACAAGCTCATCTGTGCAGGCTACTCTACCAGTGGTGTCACGTGCATCRGCGACAGCGGTTCTCCGCTCATGTTCTCGGTGGCGCATGCGCAGAATGCTCAAGTGAAGAGGTGGATTCTGGGTGGAATGTTGAGTTGGGGTTTAAATACYTTTCAGACWAGCTGCCACAAGGACTACAGTCACACAGCATATGTGAATGTCGGTCGWTACTTGAGATGGATCAGGACGACTATCAAACCAAAACGTAATTGATTTCTACACTTTGTCTCTTATTCCCAGAGGTAGATTTTATAGCAAAGAGAGGAACATGTTTAAATACATGTCGAGTTTTAAATGTTGAACGAATTTTCCTAAAGAAAACTCTTCCTGCTTTGTGGCGCGCGCCGTGCGTCTSTACTTTATTATTACACACCTAAGAGCCAATCGGAACGCATGATGCACAATGACAATGACATTGTTATAWCTCAAGTCAAATCTGTTTACGAAGGATAAACATGAAACTTCTCTTCTATTTCTCTACTTGTACGAATCAATATATTGTGCTAAAATTACTTTTCTCAAATTTATTTTGTAAAAAACAGTCCAGCTGTTCAGCTGTGTGCCAAGAAGAAATGCATGTTAAAATATATATATATATAAAAAAAAAGAAAAAAGAAAAAATGAAAAAATCGTATATCGTATATGTGAGTTCGAATCGAACAACTAATCGTATATCACATGAGTGATTGTCTCCCTTGATTCAAAGGTTTTTCTTCAAAGGTTTTCTTTTCTCCAAAACAAAAAACAAAAAAAACTAACACACTGAATTCTAATTCGATCTGTGAGTTACCCGTGTCGTGATTTTGATCTGCCAACAGATTTCAGGGTAGCGATAAAACTCCAAGGTATTGATCGTTCAATGACCATATCTGTTGACTCCTACTAACCATATTGTTAAATATTAATTCCTTTGATATAGAAATACCACACTGTCAGTCGAGGACATATAAGTGGTTTGAAATCATTCCCTAAAGAATGCACACGGCCGCCATGTTGAGTGATATGACAAAAGAAACTAAAAAAACTCTTGTGAAATTCAACTAAAATASGAACAAGAACCTATGCTTTCTTTTCCCTTACAGTAATAGAGATAGACAAACCGTAGCTTGCACGTATATGGAAAGTTTTTTGAAGACCAAGTTAATCATTTAATTATTGGTTAAACGTCTATTGTTTTATGTACAAAATAAAGAGCACTAGAATCATAATAATGCACCATATACTCATGTTAGAAGTATTTACGCCTCATTGTGTCCTTTCTTTCCTTGAACTACTCTTCCCTGATCATCACCATACCTCTCATTGATATACCATACTTTACGGTGCCTTATCCTATATTACCTGTCTCATTCTAACTTCCCGTTCCTTGTACAACCCTTTCCTGTACATTAACCATACCTGTCATTACTTTACTGTACCTTCGTGTATGTGTCCCTAGCTTCCCTTSTTTGTACATCACCTTCATATGCAGTACTTTACTGTATCATACTTTACAGTACCTTCTTATATGYGTGTACCTATCTCATTCTAGCTCTCTTCGCCGCCATTTTACTTTGTCTCTTCAACGCATCCTTGTGTTTTTTCTTGTAATCTTGAGTCAGGTCAGATCTATTTGCGATCCACTGTTCGTTCAGTTGGTCTAAACTCTGTGTTCTCATAAACAAACTTTCTTCRTCTGTGAAAACGAGAAAAGCATACTTTAAACCTTTTCTTTTTCGAGTCACAATAAAGCGGTAGCTGACTTAGTAAACCCCAAAGAAATCAAAACCTTACCGTCTACACGTCTTTCTAATTCTGGGTCCCCAAAATGAAAGAARAAGCTTTCTTCTGGAGCTGTTTGGACACGTTCCTGTTCCTCCTCGTGTTCCATGTCCTCTTCCTCATCACCACTGCTATCGTACGGTAACATTACAGGATTCCATGGCTTTGAGCGCAGTTCTTCTGTTGCTCCCCAGTTTGAACTAARGGCTTCTGTATTTTCAGTTATGTCTTGGTCGGAAAGGAACTTGAATGATGTAGTATTATCATCCTAGGAGTTAAACAAAAAGTCTTGACTGACTGACTCTTTACGCGTAAAATCTGCCAAACAAGCCGTTCCTGCTAGTGTGTTCTCTTCCGAGGGAAATTTATATGAACCTTGCCCCCTCGCCTTACTCCAACCCCCACTCCCACCCCCTAAAGCTGACCATCATCAACCYCTTACCGATTTGTTTTTCCCAAACACCTCAGATAAGGCGCTTGTTTTAACATCATAGAATTTATCCATTGTGACTTCTGGTACACTGCGCATGACTTCTGTAGTTTCCTGCTGACCCTTGTTGACTGCAGGCTCGGGTCGGTCGTCTTGTTTCTTGAGTTTTTGTTCAAACTGCGCATGATCRTCTCTTGTTGGATCATAACGAATCAAACTGGAATCGCTAAAAATTACGCAAAGAAATCAAAATAATTATATTTGGTATAAAAAATATTTGTATATTTATAAACTGAAATTCGGACAATCCAACTTACAAAGTTACCCAATCACAATAGAAGTTGTTGGCTGCAAAGCCTCTTTAAGGCAAGAGATCTTTACTTACGTAAATCTGTCCTTCTTTGAGGTGTTATCTCCATACTTGGTTCCTATGTTGTGTYCTAGGATACCACGAAGCACTGACATTGACAAGTCTTTCTCACGTGACAGCTGTTTGCTGATATCATCATCAATGGTCGCCTCTACATCGCTGTCACTAGCGTAAATCACAGAGGGCTTTCTTSTATCATTCTCTTCTTGTGGTAAAGGTTCATCGTCACTCTCAGCGAACCGCTCATCGAGTTGAAATCTACTGTCACCTCTATATGATTTTTGGAGTTTAAACAACTGGAACGAAAAAATAAATTCATAAAAATATATTCATAAATATTTAAACAACTACAAGTAATTTCAAAATTGCTACCATGTTGGAGGATATAATAATAAAAGAAAGTCGGCCAAAGATTTTAGGTGAAATTCATCCAACATGGCGACTGTGACATCACGTTCAACGTTCACTACCTTGTGAATCACAAACGCCTGGAATACGAAATKTCAGACTTTTTTGTTTCAATACACACCTTTTGTCCCGTTTCACCTTCAAACTGTGGCTTAGCAGCAAATAAGTGTTTTTCAACTTCTTTATCAGGAAAGTCTTCATCATCGTCGCTAGCTGAGTCAAGACCTAACCAATTAGCAGCCTTGGATCCTGATATCTGTACAACAGAGCAGTAGATGAATATGTATAAGTGAGGTGGGGTCTTTACGAGGTCGAATTGAAGGGTCGAGTTAGGGGACATAAGTTTGTTAAATGATTGGATTAGGAAGGTTCAAAATTGTAATCCCTAATGAGATGGTCGGATTGAAAGGGTTGAAATAATCAATCTTTATAATTCATTAACATTGGCGGGTTTATTGCGGTTTGGTATAATATCATAATCTCATTTGAGTATCTCAATTCCTTCTGTTTATTTTCGGTAAAATTGAATTCTTGTGCTAAAATAAAACACTGACTGAATCGCTTTTCAACAGAGTGTAAAAACATCTTACCTTTCCTTTCGTTTTTCCTTCCTTTTCTCCAACCACTTGYTCCTCTTCTTCATATTCCTCATCAAACTTGATGTGCTTGGAATTCTTCACGTTTTCGTCATTACCATCCAGATTTTTCAAAGCTGATGCAATAATAGATTGTTTTGACATTGAGCTTGCTTCTCTYTCTTTGGCTGCTCGAAGTCTCTTCTCGTTCGAAGTGAGTTTCTTAGCTGGATTCTCTTCTTTTATTTTTGCTCGTTTCTTCTTTCGATTATTATTGCTTTCGCCAATTGGTTCAACAATCTTTACTTCTTCATAACTTTGTTTATTTTCCTTTTCTCGTTTCTTCTTTTTACTGACTTCAAGTTCATTAGTTGTAGATTTATTTTCAGATGTCATTCCACCTTTTGATTTCTTTTCTTTCTTCCTTTCCTTCTTCTCCTTCTTCTTATTCATTTTTTCATCCAAGGTAATTTTTAAATCTTCGTGTTTTTCATCATCATTTTGTGTATTTTTTAAATCTGTTTTACTATCTAATAATATCGATTTATCTTCTGAATTTTCAAAAGAATTTTCCTCCGAATCTATTCTTTGATCTTCTTTCTTGACTTTATTTTTTGGCTTCTTCTTAACAACAGTTTCATCTGCCGAACCATGTGGGATAGAATGTACTTGATCAGAATCACTTGAATCTGATGCTCTTCGTTTTTTCTTGCTTTTCTTTTTCTTTGACTTCRCTGGAGCCAATGATTTAATGTTTTCCTCAGCACTCTCAATGTTGCCTAGAGAATCATCTTTGATGACATTATCATTATCATCCAAACTRCTTTCACCCTTTTCTAGCTCTCTGTTTTCGAGTCCTTCTCCATTKACACTTAKTTYTTCWWCTGTATAATATTTTTTCAAAGGAGAATCTTTCTTGYTGTTTTTTTCCTTGAATGATTCCAYTTTTTCACTTTCATCTAAATTCTCAATTTYMTTTCTCTKTGARTTCATTTTCTTCYTTTTACTTTTTGGTGCWGATTTAKATTCYCCACMAAAATCTTCTGATGAACTATCAGTATCATCACTGTCTTCCTCAWGTTTATCACCATTAATAATAACCTCATCATCATTTTCCTTCCCTAAACTCCAAGTCAACTTAGATATAGTCTTGTCATCACCTGCATCATCTTTGATTCTCTTCAAGTTATGCAAAGTTTTACTGGGATCTATCCTGGATATTTTATGGCTGCCTGTTTGACGCATGTGAACAACAGGCAAAACTCTACCAAACTTACCAACAACCCAGTTCTTCTTTCCAGGAATAAGAGTACCAGGAAGAGAGTTTGGTGCTGCAATGGTTAATTCTGATGACGTTGGAGAACTTTTAGAATTCTTTATATCACCTTTTGACTTTATTTCYTCTCTTTCTCTTTGAAGCCTTAAAAAAATACGGCATAAAACATTAAATAAAACAATTACCATAATATGATACTAGAAAGGTTTCTATTGGTTGGGGGTCAAATGCTGTGGCCCACCCTAAGATGTGAATAACATWACATATTGATTGTAAGAAAAATGGTGAATGTAATTTGTTCAAGACATCAGTGAGTGGTTGCTTCATCCTCCCAAGTCAGGRGCTCAGGTTTGAGCATTCAAAGGTRCACCCTTTAGCCCCTCAGACTTTTTGTACTCCTTATAAGGGTAATTATAGCTACAGCTACAAATAACAAAGAGAAGTTGAAACAGATATGATTCTGACGATCTCAAACCTCAAAAAGCCATGCACTAACCAACTTAGCCATACCTGCTCCTGGTTTAGACGTCTAGTTGGTCTAGAGGTCTAGTTGTCTAGTCTAGTCCTAGTTGGAGCTATGGGTTAGAGGTCTTTCTTAGGGTTCTTTAGTTTTGCTCCCTCCACAGGTTTGTTGGCAATATAAAATTACAATTGTTTTATGCAGYGCTCTTTATTGCAGCATGTTATGACAATCTGTTAACCTTGTATCACAGAGGAATGCCAATGGCCTACAGTGTAACTCATGTGGTGTAGGCCTCCGGAGGGGTATAGCAGAAGTTTMAATGGAGTACAGTACATATGTGCCCAGCCTACCTGGATAAAAAGCTCTCCTTCGCAACCTGTATCTTGAGTATGCCTCCTTTCCATCTCGTGTTACTAAGCATCGTTATACCTGAGTAATAAGAGTAAAAGTATAACAGGAATTATAKTTATGAATGGATATTATAAATGCGATATTAAGATGCACAGTGATTGCTACTTCAGGTACTTACATTTCTTAATGTTCAAATCTGATGCATCAAGCTCCACATATGCAAAGGTCTTCTCTGGGAATCCTTTAATAGAAAAATGAAATTGAAGAAATATTACTAAACCATATCTTTAACAGTAAAAACTATAGCTTCTGGTATTCCAAACCTCAATGCTCATTTTTCAAAATCATGATACATTTATATAATAAAAAATAAACTTTGAAAAAACTTTTATTTGTCCAGTGCTCAGGATTGGAACACAACAAATAACAAAAGTTTAGAAAAATTTCATCTTGTTGTGATCTTTTGCTGATTGAATTCAGATTTAATAGAGAGTTTTAGATTGACTTTTTTTTCTCCCCGCAAACGGCAAACGTGACCACATTTTCATAGTTTTCCTKTATTTTACTTTACCTTTTACAAACCTTCTCACCKAGCGCAAATAMTCTTTTGTTTTWYTACTACTTGGACTTTTTTTGCGATYCTTTTTCAGTAACTTRAAAGAATTGTTTACTGGTCAACTGATGTTTCACGTTTGCMGTGAGCGTAAATCTAAAACTCTCTAAAGGCCGGTTTAGACGGTAYGATTTTCRCCTACAACTATYGTAYACAACACACTCGCACCATCCTACAACTCGAGTYGTAGCATGTAAATCAAGCCTACAACTMGCCTACGACAARCRYGAGYGTGTTGTATACGATWGTTGTAGGCRAAAATTGYACCGTCTAAACCGGCCTTAATATTGCATTTCCAGCTTGGCATGCAATATGCAATATTATGCAACAAAACCTTCACCAACATTTTTCGAAATAGTCATATACCATTGTTATTCACAGTAACATGCAACTTGTTTTGTACTGACCTTCACTTTTTGGTCTTACATGAACCTCCACTGATGATACAGAACCAAATGTCTTAAACCTTTCCCTGTGAAAAGTCCAGAACCTATGAATTATTTCATATATCTACATATTATACAATAGTGTGATGGTGGATGGCTAGTTATTTATTTCCTCATAAACAAAATCAACTTATTGAAGAAGTTCTAAGTGATAATGAGGTACATGTACTTCTCAGGATAAGATAAAAACTTACAACTGAGAAAATATGTGTGTAAATATATCACTTTCAAATTACCTCAAATCTTTTTCATTGGTTCCAGAGTTGAGTCCTCCAACGAACAGTCTTTTCGTCTGTACTGACATACCTACGATGTCTTTTTAACTTTATATGAACAAAATGATGTTSATGTTGAAAACACACGTGCAAGTTAATCCAAGGATACCCGACAATAAAACACTACAAATACGCGACAAAGTAGGAATTGTCACACGAATCGCTTTATCGCTAAAAGATATCGATTTTAAAGTTAAAATATTTGATTAATGTGGCTTGATATTTTTAAATTTAAAGAATTTTGAAGATCTACATAAAATTCTAGTTCGGCCGCCATCTTGAATTGAAAATGTGCTCTTTACCAGGACCACTCGGTTGTTCTTCGTTGGATTTTGACCGAAGTGTATGGTGGGTATGCAACCATGGTAAGAGGTGTTAATTCATCATCGACACAAGCGAAATATCGGGGTTTGTTGGTCAAAGCAAGAAGTTAATCATCTACGGTCTAGGGACCGACTAACCTCTCCCTTAAGCTTTTGCCGAGCTTCTTGATCAGTCTGTAATTCCAACCAGGATAGCGGTGTCGGGGTCGAAATCTCTGGCGTAGCCCTAAATGCTTCGCGCTGCCATACGACGGTTCAGCATTCGATGTCTGGAGGTATGGTCCTGGTTTAATAAACGAAAAACTAAAAATACGAAAATTATGTCTGAATCAGCAAATGAACTTTAAAAAAGATCACTTCGAGGGCGTAACCAGGGGTCTTACCAACCCCTACAGCGTGGCTGCGCAGAGAAGTGGAAATGAAACTGTTTAAACAAGCAGGCATCTTGAGAAGTGGTATACCATTCCATGGATTTAAAGAACAAAAAAAGGTGAATCCAATAATGAATGAGCGACACATCAGCACTACATTCGGAGTTAAAGTCCAAGCTATGATCAATCAATAAAAAAATCTAACAGCATAGAGTAATTTTTCCAGAGAAGAACCCAGTTTTAGTCATTGTCCAAAAAGAATCTTAAAAACCGCGCGCTCTCCATTGCGCTACCCATAATGCATCTTTCCCATTATTTAACAATTATTCGCCGAAGGCGGTGTGAAATAAAGCGGCAGGACGCCATTTTGGATTTTCGCTCGAGGTGATTATCGTGTGATAGTGTGAGTTTCTTGACCAATCAGCGCGCGTGATTTTTTTCTATAATCACCTGCGTATTTTTACTAAAAACCTATACACTAAACAATTAGTTCAAGTTTTTCATATATTTATCTAAATTAACAATAAAGTATTTTAAATTTGTAAAACTACCGTTATTGAGTCGTTATGTAGTTATTTAGTGCAATCAGGTCCCGCTGACTGTATACGTCTTATTCATACAATAACAATTTTGGGAGCTGTGGGGTATACAATATGAAAAGATTTTTACATTAAACTTTTTTCAAGGGGATTTTGACTTCGTACTAAGGTTTTTTACACTAGAGCAACTCGTAAGAAGCCGACAAAATTTAACGAGCTTAAAAAGCCCTGAGTCTTATTTTTTTCTTATTTATTTCATGAACTATCTGATCAGATATAGTATGTGATGAAGGTGAATACTATTTGGCGTGTATCAAAAGCAAGTTATTCCGTATAAGAATTGCCGTGGAGCGAGAACTAAAAGCTTCTCGATCATACACCACACATATAAATAAAAACACGTAGTTTTACTAAAGCAATAGCCATTTTCATTCTTTACGTGCCCAGCATAGTCCAAGACGTCTGCGTTTTTTGGCTTCCGTTAATCAAAAATTCCTAGCTTAGACCATTAGAAATTTAATTGATGGAAGCCGGCAAAACCCAGGCTAGACGTGCTGTAAAATAGCCAGTTGACTGGCTGGGGTAATATTTTATGAAAACAGGTATCAAATTAGCCTCTTCCGCAGGCGTCTTTCGTCTCTTTTTTGTTGAATTGGGATTCCTGTGTCGCGAATTGGGATTCCTGTCGAAAGAGACTAGGCGCTAATTAGGCGAGAGAGAAAGAAAGAGGAGACGCATCTCTCTCTTTTCGCTCTCTCTTTCTTCTCCCCTCTCCTCCCCTCTCCTCAGTCCCCCTCATTTTAAAGACACAGGAAGCCCAATACTCAAAAGGAGAGAAGAGACAAGAAAGATGCACGCGGAGGAGGCTAGTATCAAATAAGGCCTAGATAATGGCTACTTGCTGCTGTACTATAGAGCTGTATTCTGCAAGGTTAGCGTTGTTTGCTTACCGACTTCACGACGACAAAAATATTTTTCGCAAGAAGGTGCGCACTGCATATATTGGCAATGCTACCAACACCAGTTTGATTCCACTTTAAACTATCTCCATTTCTTGTCAGAATACTTGGTGAAGTACGTGCAAAAATGCTGTTTCTGTCTAAAAATGCATATATTAAAATATTCAATTCAGGTCAATGGCTACCCAGCATGGCATAGCGACCCTTGAACTCCTCGATTAACTGTGTAGACTGGATTACTTTACTCCGCCTGTGCTTGGATTTCTATGGAATATCATTTCAGAGTTTCAGTTGTCTTCATTTTCTCCCATTCAGTGCTGCCATTCCCATTCTTTCATTTCATTTCTTCGATTTTTAATAATTAAATTATCTTGAGCTTGTTTGTGATATATTTACTGTTTACAATTGTGTGTTTTCTTCCTCTTCTCGATGGCGTGATTGCCGTAGAGACGTGGCGCTTCCATTCATTTGTCTCGACTGTCCTCCGACTGCTTCAAGCGGTCTGGAAACCACTCTTTGTTCGATAAAAAAATAAGATAGGAGAGCCAAGATAAAGGCATCGAACATTGCTATGATAGCAATCCCGAAAGCCCATCGGACTTCACAGTTGCCTGTTTTGTACGAGTCGGCATTTTGACCACAGATTTCTCTAACCTCAGGAACGTCCCATCCTCCGGGATATATGAAGCAGGTTAATAAAAGGCAGCACCCTGAAAAAAGAACATACCATAAAGATACGAGAAATGGTATTAAAAACTCGAAGACTAGAGGAGGGGAACAAGTAATCCATGTTAAGAAATTAAGGAAGAAAATCCTGCAACACGAGCTTCGCAGAAAATATGCACATGTACGTCAGTCCTGACCAAGAAAAAACTATGTATGCGGGGGCGTCACAGCCAAACCCTTTATGATAAACACATCATTCGGATCATTCTGCATAAGAGGTCTAGATGATACAATAAATGAAACCATGTACGACCAGAAAAAAATAAGTGCTGTTTATGCATAGACTGAATTCAAAGGCATTCCACATTTGCTTGAGTCGTGTCTTACTTTGTCGATCTTTTAATCCTACACCATTTTTAGCACTTCATATATATACACAAAACGCACTTATCTATTAATTACCTATAACCTTCCAAATAATTCAAAAAATTGCTACTGGGAAATAGAGCATGAATCGTGGCCACATCTGACGTCATCAGGAAGGATAATTATGTCAAACTTAATACAACGAGAGCTAGATTTACGCTGTACAAATATATAGCAACGTCAAGTAGTTCTTAGATAATTACAAATAAATATTACACCCAAAAAATAATGTAAGGAATGTTTAGGCTAGTTTTTTTTTATCGTGAGAAAGTTGCCCCATCGAAAAGCGCCATCAAGCGAAACTGCAATATCGATGTTTAAACAAAAATATGCTCCTGAACGATCGTTTAAATTCCATTCGGCATTGTAACTCTGCAAATTCTTATTACAAGATAACTATTAAGCTATGAATGGTATTTTGTTTGTGTGATGTTTAGAATTACAAATAAAACACTAATAAGATCCAAGGTGAATTTACAATCGTGAAAATGAAATTCACTTTACAACATTGTGGTATTCTTTGGATCTTAAATTAGGTAAATTGCCTGACACTTCAGTATAAGCCCACTTCCTGTGGTTTAAAAGATTTCCCGTTTGTTTAAATCTTGGAAATCATAAAACTGCATGAACTGATCTCGAGTTTATAATTGGGGTAATATCAGCTGTCTCGTTAAAAACTATATAGCTGAATATTTAAAAAAATGCAAAATAGCAAGGAAAATAACGTTGAAGTAAATCTGGCTTAAACCGAACTAAATCCCATGTTTAACCTTTCAATTGTGAGAAAATTATCTTATAAAACAAGTTTGTTGATCGCTTTAAGAATATGTAGGAAACAAATTAACAGTAAGGAATAAAAACGAAGGGATATGTTTTTTCTTTATTCTTTTTTAACTATTTAAAATTTGCATACTAGCATAAACACAGAACTTCGAAAACACTAGCTGAATAAATGAAAGTTCTTTAACGTAGATTACATTATAAATCTTTAATAAAACAGAGTTCATGTATTAAAATAATCGCAAACGAAGTCAATAGTTCGAAAAAAATGTTTAAATAGAAGTCCACGTTATCGAAAAGACTAGAATAAAATAGAATATTCATAACAGACGTTATATGATTTCCGTACGAAACGATTATGAGTCAAGTCAAAACAATATTTATTTAAATAATTTGAACTTCAGCTTTACGAAAATAATACTACGATGAAATCCCCAGAGAAATATGAAATACATTAGCCGGCAAATGAAAGTTTTAAAAGCAGTCTATAAATAAACTCACCTGTAAATACTTGAAAGCCTGTTGCATAGCGAAATCCAAATCCAGCAGTTTCTCTACATTTTAACCAGTACACTGCCATAATTATTATCGAAATAAAAGTCGAAAATATCGAAAATATAACCAAAAGAGTAGATACTTTCCACGCGTTGGAAGGAATTTTACTGAAGTCGGCCATAGCAGCGGAACACATTTCCCAACTTTCAGGACAACTTCGATAGAGTCCGAAATTAACGATTTGTCCATCTTTATTTGGCACTCCTCCAAGCCACTGGGGTTGTACTAGTATTACGATGATCATAATTGCCAGAAACACAGTAAATATTGTCCACAGAACGATTAGAATACTTCGAGTTCTCGATCGATGCCATGGTCTAGCTCGGGCATGACGAACCATTCTGCTGCTAGAATTGGCTCTTTCTTCGCCGTTAGGTGACGATGTCGTTCTGTTCGCATCGATTGGTTGATCTTCGAGTTCAGGGCTCTCGATATTTGACATTCTTTACAAAGTACAGAACAAAAAAATCATAATAATAGAGAGTGTTCCCACCAGGGACGAGTCGAATATTGGCTGTGAAATTCTTTGTTCATTGTTGCGTGTGCCTTCACATTTGTGCATTTGTCAACAAGATTTCTTTTGTTTTTTGAAGCGGTATATTGTCAGATCACCCGGGTCGTCGAGTCGTCATCAACCAATCATGTGCAAGTCCTAACACAAGAACTCTAACACAGGCAATATCGATATGAAGGCACGTATTTCAACTTTTCGGAGATGAACTTAATACCTTAATACCTAAATATAGAACCCCAAACTTTAGTACAAGTAGAAAAAGAGAGTTGCGGCAGTCTTCTGATTTGCTGTTCTATCCATAGAACGCCAGTTATATGAGTTATAGTTTAGCTAACAAACTCTACCCTTCAATTTTTAATGTGTTTGAATGCCTTGAAAGTTTGCGACATCGATCATCATACAGTAACAGCACACAAAGAAGTCAACGATAGCTTTACATTCAGCTTCAAGGATGATCGAGACACAAAAAATCATGCAATAAAAATATCACTTAGTTATCTCTTCTCTCTACATGTTAAAATACGTTTTCCCATATCACAGTACCTTAAGAAATATTCGGACCGGCACTTCCGTGTGAATAAATATCGTTCACGCGTCTTAGCAATATCCACGACAACTTGAAATTATTTGTCCAGACGATTTTTACTTTAAAATTCTACAAACTTCGGAAGTAGAAGATTGTTGGACAATATTGACTTTATAATGTTGATCTTGCCTCAATCGAAACGTCTGCTGTTTGAAAAACTTTACCTAATAAAACTTTACCTTAAGTAAGTTTTATTGTTGTTTAAAAGTATTTCGACACGTGAAAGAGCGGACCCTGAGCTTTACACTGGACCCAAGATTAAAAAGTAAAAATAAAACCAGGAAAAACGATACAAATATACAAAAGAATCAAATTTGTAAGCCGTTGCCATAGCAACATCCACAACACTCACACGAAATACGATTGGTGAGTAATTTTAAATGGAATGGCATAAACTTCTCATTAACTGAGTTTTTGTCGAGCGTTTTTGGGGGGGGGGGGGGGGGAGGGTATGGAATAAAAGAATATTTTAGCGATGATGAATGTTACTTGATAAAAAATTATCAAAATATAAAAACCCGGTGAGCTATATCGTTTCGGTAAGATTTATTTTAGATTCAAAACTGAAAGAAATAATAAAATTCATTTCCTAGGAGGTATTATCTCCTTAGGGTTACGATTGTAGTGTTTGTTAAGTTTTTAACTTGTTTTGTTGGATATCTTCTATGTATCCATAGCGACAGGATCGTGAGTCTGCTGGATGGCTGGCAAGGGCACCGTGGTCTCGTATGACCATTTAGGGAAGACTCTTTTGTAGAGATTCATGCAGAATGTGTCTTGCGCTTTGAGTGTGCCGTCCACAACACATTTCATATGACCATGAGTGCCTTAAGAAGGGCGAAATAAAAAAATGAAGTGTCAGTAAACGTTGTTGATCTAGTAACAGCAAGTGCCAATGTATTATCGTGCGCTTCTAAGAATGTAATTACTGTTCTATTACAGCCCTTCTAGCCTTTTCCGAGATATCAGACATGGTGTATTGCGGTCGGCTAGTCTTGTTAAAAACATCTCTTGTTACTATGTGTTGTTAGTATGCGTATGTGTTGTTAATATGGAGTTGTGTTGTGTGTATCCAAGCTAGACCAGAATACACTTCGTTTATTTAACTCAACAAAGGGCAACATTTTCCAAGTACTCCTAAATTACATCCACCAAACCTTTGCGATAACCTGAGGGCGCGCGTGAATGACACTGGCTGTAAGTTACACAGGGTCATTAAAGTGCTGTTAGTATCAGACTTACCTAAAGGTTCTTTGATATGTCCTCGACGGCCGTACTTGGTGAACAGTTCGACTGGTTTAAACCATAAGATATCCTCTAAAACAACAACAACAACAATATCAGCTGCAACAACATCTCTCCTTTCTATTTTCCTTTCTTTCTTCCCCTACTTTTTTTATTTTCTTTCTCTCCCCCCCCCCCCCCCCCCCCCCCCGCAATCTGCCACATTGCAATCCATTACTCTACTCAAAAACTCAGCCCAATCTCCAGACTATGATTTAGTGCGCAGGCTAAGAATTTTTATCCAAATCTCGAAATTATACGTCATTCTCGTCCCAGACCCCAGGAGTTTGCATCGAGAAAGATAATACGTCTACATCATTGCTTTCTCAAGGCAACACTTACCTCGGTTAAAGAACATATACCGAATAACAGCCGAGCGTTTATTGATTTTATACGGATATCCACTGAGCACAATCTTCTTGGCTATAATTCTGTCAGGGTCAACTTTGTAAAGGGACCCACTGCCTAGCAGTGAATGTGTCCCTAGAAAAAACACACACAAAAAGACTGTTAATAATTAACTTCGCGCACAATCGAGATCAACGGACACAAACCTTGCGGGTACTGTTTGCCTCTTTAAAAAACCAAGTTTCATTCTCTTGAGCATGATTTCTTTGTACAGCAGTTACCCATTTATTTCCTTGAATATTACTACTTTGCTTAGCAGTATCGCTTGAGAAGGCGTGATTTAACACAAAAATTCAACAAAAGGACCTAGAACACTAAGTATCCCACCCAAGAAACTACATACAAGGAGAGAGTAGGCTCTAACAAGATTGACGGTAAACTGGAAATACTATTTTTATAGAAAAAGAAAACAATACTATAGGAACGTTTGGACTTGGCCGTCACAGGCAACCCAGTAATTAAAAAACGGGTGAGAGTTTCGTCGAGCAAAGGTGTGTGGGATCGTTGGGCGGCACGCTTTTCCTTCGATTTCATACAATTATCAGACATGACATGCATATACACTGACATACCTGTTGGATCTGGTGTTAACACTAGTACAGGACACGGAGAGAACATTATGGGTGCATA